TGAATTCCAGCATTGGGCCTCGAGTGAATTTGCTTGGCTGTTCCCCGGGGAAGTTTCTGCCTCATTAATTCCCTCTTTGAAATTTGCAGAATGGTGAATTTCAGCGTGTAAACAACCTTTTTAGCATTCCTTGACTGATTAGTAGTCGTTTATTTACAGCCCCTTTAGTGCTATTACACACGCTTCTATGTTTTATATCCCAATTCTTTAGTCAAGCAAGTTTTCCATTCCACCGTTGCTTAATTAATTTAAAATGAGATCTGTTGTGAAATGGTACCACTTGGTCCACAGAGCACTGTACTTGTACAGTTGATATAAAAGAAGGCAATAAAAAATTTGAATTGTTTAAAAATGGAGTCAAACTGTTAGGAGGAAGGAGCAGCTTGGTTTTATGCTCATTAAAGAGCTGCTGTCTGGTTCAAAGAGTTAATAAGAGGCCAGGCCATTAAGAGATTTAAATTAAGAAAACTAGAAAAGGACTCCGAGTGCACAGACCTCCACCAAGCAGCACATTTTTTTCCCATATTATGACTTATAGCTATAGCTAAAAAAATAAAATCACACATGATCTTGATCATTACCAAATTATAATGAATTGTTTATTGGCATGAGGTGCACCTTTGGTATCAATTTCCTTCAAATCTGTTCATAAGTAAATAAGGCCCAGCGTGTGTCTGCAGCCTCTGGTGTTTGTTCTGCTCTAATCTTCTCCATTCATCCTTTCTTATTTGATCATTAGATGGAGACTTTGAGCGAGGCACTGCTCACCTTTCCTGTGTTGTTGTGGGCTTTTTTTTTTTTAATCCAATGCTGAAGCTGTCAATCGTCAGTGCCGCCACCCTCTGGTTTAGGAAGGAACTGCTTGTTCCACCGAAACATTTTAAAGGATCCTTTGAAAAATTCCTGCATCTAGATTATGATGTTGATCATCACCAAAATATAATAGATCGCTCCTTGCACTGAGGGCAGCCTTGGTTTCGATGTGCCCAAAACCTTCCTTCCAGTTTAAATTTGCAACTGCAGGTCCCTAATAGATGCACCTCTAATTAAGGCTGTTAAATTAGCAATAATCTAAAAATG